ACCTTTACCAAATAAATTTGTCGGTATGTTTTTTTAACTCATAAACCGTTAACCGTATAACCCTGGAATCTTTTTATTTGAGGTCCCTAAGTCCTAACTTAGAAAAATGAGGTCAAGGTCAAAGGTCAAGGTCAAGTTCTCAATTTTGACTTTTCCTTGTTTTTGCATTCTCTCAAACACTTTTAAAGATATATATGAAACAACAAGTGCAAAATGTTTGCTTTATTGTAATGAAGATATGTTACATTTGGTCTGAAACAATCTAATGGCATCCTATAGGAGTTAATGCCCCTGAAATGTCCAATTATAAGGTTAATTGATTATTACTTCAACTTGGTTAATTATAAAGCCATGTGACCTTATACAAAAGGTTGGATGACATATGACCTTGAAAAATGACAACCGGAAGTGACCTTTAGAAAACCGGAAGTAGCCATTTTTGCACTTTCTTCATGGAAAAGTACTCGGAATCCATATATTTTGTAATTTTAATCCATTAACTTATCACTGAAGACTAGAAATGACTTTCGATAAACCAGAAGTGGCCAATTATCTCCTGGTTTTCAAGCAAAAGTATATCGAAACTATATATTTTTGGAATCAGTGTGAAAGAAACTATTATATGAGACCGGAAGTGACATTTACTTCACCGGAAGTAGCTAATTATCTCCCTTATTTCACTCAGAAGTATATAGAAACCACTTATTTATCGCATCAGTATGAAGAAACTGATGATAAGATTCCAATTTTAACTTTGAGTAAACACGAACTAGCTTCTTTTCAATAAATTTAAAAATTGCTGTGGAAAGACCTTCAATTGTTCTCTGAACAATTGGTTTTTAATTGTTAATAGTTACTTTTAGTAAACTATAAGTCAATATGTACATAGCACACAAGTTCCGGGTAGTTTTACACTCCTACCTAGGAATCTACTCCCGTATCCGGAAGCACTTAAATAGTAGACATAACTGGGCGATATTTTGGTTTTTAATGAAAATCTTGTGAGGAAAACATATTAACATTGTGTTTAGACTCCTTGATGATATTTATTTCTTAAGTTTTTGATACTTTTATCGATCATCCACACTTCAATATATGTGGGACCAGAGACATATAAAACGATCATTGGGAGAAAACATTTGAATTTCTCTTATTTTTTTCAAGTCTCCACCTTGAAGAAGGAAAATAAATTGAAGACACCCCCCCCCCCCCCCCCCCCCCCCCCCCCCCTTTTCCAAAGACAAGAAAACTTCAATTCCCGAACACTGTACAATATTTTCATTATTTACAACAAAAAATGCATGCATATATAGTGGAAATAAAGCTTCAAGTGGAGAAGTTGTTTGTTACTTCAGGGAACTTTATTTCGCTATACCAGTTATGGTCTCATTGACATTTATCACACCTTCATTCAATTTCTGCACATTATTCCTTACTTTTATTAAAGAAGTTAGTAAATGATCTTTAATACTTTCCTTGAAGAACATTTTGAAACTTGGGATTTTTATCTTTAGTTAACAATAGACCAGTTTCACATAAGCGACTTATCAACCCTGATCTCGAAATCATATGCTCGTTTCAGTTTAAATCCCGCGATAATTAACGATATCATACGTGACAGGGGCCTATCTAACCCGAATAATTCAGTCGGTATATTCCGCTGATCTACGATTACTTCATTAACGCAAGTAGGAGAGATCGATTACGGGGAGGGACTGAATATCATTCGGGTTAGGGGATATCCAATTTACCCTTATATTTTGCAACACAATAATAAATACCGATAATACACATCTCTCTCTTAATTGGTGTGTGCTGGAGGCAGGTAAACAGATGATACCAGTACTATGGTGGCTTATTTCTGACATCGACATAATTTTTGTCGACATAGATTTATCTCGATAAAACATGATATTATCTTGACAAGCCATGATATTATCTTGTTATGTCGACTTTCATGTAATTTTTATAGTGACATGTCTTGATAAATTATCGCGATATTCCGTGATACATGCTGCAGAATGTTTATTATCATAACAAGTCGACATATATCATGAAAAGTCGCCAACAAGTATCTCTATGATGTAATTTTCTTAAATGTTGCGATAGTTATATTTAAATTATATTTTCGGAACTACTTGTCCAGAACAGACTGTGGTTGATCGTCTACAGACTGCGCACGTGTCGAAGCGAGTTCCGAATATGATCTATTTTAGAGGTTCTATATTTGAGCGTGTGATATGTCGACTTGTCATGATAATGAACATGATGGCAGATCGCGAAAACTTTATGTTGACAAGACCTTATGTGAATGACAGGAGCAGGCAGGGTCGAAGAAAAAGTCACGGTAACGAGAAAAATATGTCGACATTCTGCAGCATTCATCACGGAATATCGCGATAATTTTTCAAGACATGTCACGATAAAAATAACATGAAAGTCAACATAACGAGATAATATCATGGCTTGTCCAGATAATATCATGTCTTATCGAGATAAATCTATGTCGACCAAAATTATGTCGATGTCAGAAATAATTAAGCCACCATACAGTACACAGTATGTTTGTCACGGCGAACGTAGCTATTATGTATTGTACATGTACAGGGATTTTAAACGTGTAGAAAGACATGCACATTAGATTTTTGTAACAAATGATGTAGTTTTTTTTTAATTTTTATTATACAGCTGTCATTACTTATATTGATTAATCAGCATGCGTTCATGTATACATTTACTTACTCATAACATATTGTATTTCAACACTCTAACATTTTGAGTGTCTCTAAGAACAGGTAATGCAATTATATATTCTTTAGAACATGTATTTGGTTTTAAAATTAGAAAATGTGGACATATCCTTCGGACGTAGTACTAGTAAAATCCTTGTTATGTAAAAATTATCTATTTACTTATTCTGATTAATAATGAATGAATTTACAATAAGATATCATTATCAGTAATTGAATATCCTGCTTTACCATAAAATAAGATCAAATTGCTAAATGACCCCCTCCTGAATTATTAAAATATATCTAGTTGCATTAACCGTAATATCTCATTGTAAATTATGTACATGTATCTTATACAGAAACAGGGTTTACATTTTTAACATCTGTATTACAAAATGCAGGAAATAATTGTGTACAAAAGTTAAATAAATTTTTCGCGCAGCAAAAAATAAAAAAGAATGCGTAGCAACTAGAACATTAAATCGTGATTGACAGTATAATATTCCCAGGTAGCAACAGATGACGATGAATATTCAATCCGAAAAAATGCTTCTGGCTGCCGTCAGAAAATCAAATGGTGGTCCCCTTTTCAGCAACTGTATGTGGAAAAGGGTACGTTTTTATCAATTGTCACCTGGTGAGATTGTACAAGGTAAAACTAGGATTCCACATGGCTAAGGTGTTAATTGACTTCTTAATTGATCAGTGACCTTATATATGGATATGAAGTGACCCCCGCTTATTTTTTCTATTTTATTCTTCCCGCTAAGTGAACGACCTCAGCGGGAATCCAAGCATTTATTCGTGACAATTAAAGGTACAACGTCAGGCGGCATATTAAATCGTCTGTTACTCTACAACACAACAGTAGTCCGTTTAAAAGTCATTGTTAATAAAGTTGTCTCGTCAATATATATTTTGATTCAAATGATGTTCGTGTACATATAAACGCAAACACTTAATCAGGTGATTATTTTTCCAGGTCTGCATGGTCACTGCTTACATCAACCGTAAGCCCCCAGTCGATGAATTCTCGGTAATTATCGCGTGATTTCACAGTTTGGCTAATTAGGTTAGACATGCGCAGTTAAATGTGAAACTGGTGTATTGAGCCGAGTGGAGCGAGTCGAAAAAATTTGATGTCTTTCCTGCCTAAAATATTAAAAAGGTTTCATTGTAAGGGGAAGCATTAGGTTTGGGTCGACTAACTCCACATCTCCAATTCATAACGGAACACTATCTATATATATATAAAAAGACATATTAAAAATTCCACACTTGACTCATAGATCATGTAGATATCATCTTGAAGCATTGAAATATATGCTCAATCACGCGTTTTACGAATAATCATGTAATGAAACAACTATTTATATTATCAGTCTTTTTATTATATGGAAAGGGGTATAATATTAAGAAAACCTTATAGAGAACCTGCAAAAACATCAAACCATTTCCCTATTATTGTCATTTTTCATGTCCAACAAACAAACAGACTGAGATGGTCATGACTAGCGATCGCATGAATAAAACAATGAAATGATGTTTTCAGAACAAGAAGCCAAAAATTATGACACAAGAGATAAAGATATGGCATCTGAATCCAGCATTCGACAGTTCTGCTGAATAATCAGATCATGACTGATTTCTATAGAGATCGAGTATTCATCAAATTAGCTTTATTTTTTTCATGTTTAAAATACAGAATTTCTCAAATTTTGTAAACAAAATTTCGACGCACCCACCGGAAGTATTGAAAATTTAAATACCCAGGAATTTTCAAGCCCCCCCCCTTTTCAGGTTACAAATGACCTAGTCCAAATAATTATGTCGTCTGGAAAGGCTATTTTCATTTTTTTGCTTTGAAGACTCACAAATGACCAGTCCCTTCAAGAGTTGGCTAGTTAGCACAGGCACTTGTCTCTGAAAAAAAATCCTATATACATTAAGGTATATATAGGATATTTTTTTAGAGATAAGTGCCTGTGCTAGTTATAGTCAAATAGTACTAGTTAAGTCATGGATATATCTATGCTGGGAACAGTATATCTAACCGGCTATGGTAGCGTCTTTCAAGTTGGTAATTTATCTTTACAATTGAGCCGAGTAATATTTTTAGAAAAATATTTTAAATTAGTGTTATCAGAGTTATTTTTTTATGTCTTTATGTCTTTTGTGGGAAATAAAATATTTTCTATCAACCGCTTGGTCAATTCCGTTCTTTTAACGTTTCCACTTACGTCTTTCACTCGGTGTTTAAAATTGTGTCGACTCTTTCCAGGTCAAGGTCGCAACAGAATTTTTCAGGTGTGAGATTCCCACAAATAATTTTGTCAAAAATACTTCAATAACAAGGCTGTCTGCATACAAGTAACCAAACTGATCAGCTACATTTACTTTAAACAAAAAGCTTATATTTTTAATGATCAAATACCTGAAAATGGTTCAATTATCGGAAGTCTGATCGACTTGCCTGTTCTGTGCTAGATTCAAGATGGCACGCATATTTATTTGCTTAATATATTGTTCCTCGTGAAATTGAAATGAAAAGCCTTATGAAACTTTTAATTTTAATGATTTTTAGACACCAACAGATATAAAAAAAAAATTATATTGGGTAGGATACAAACATGACATGAAGTCATGAACATACATTTGTACAAAGACAAGTTGATTTTTAAAATAAGTGACACCGGGATCACACATTGTTTCAAAATGCAATTTTTATTTCATCTGGCGTCACATTTCTTTGCTGCCGGCAGCGATATTTCTGGCACCAACATTTTCCTATGTAAAATTTTTATCATGACCAAGACCTTATAAATTTATCTATTTAAGATAGAAAAAAAAGACAATATTATTGCGATGCATGGCAATTTTACTTAATTTCAACTTCAGAAATATCATATGGTATTTATGACTTGAATACAAGTTCTTTGTATAATAATATGGAGGCCGTAATTATACAGAGTAATCTAGCTTTTGCATAATTATCTCAAAAGTGTTGTGTTATTCATTGCTAGTTAAAATTTGGTGATACATTTGTAAGTGTATAATTCAACTGATATGGTATTTTAGTTTTGAAAAGTGGTGAAAGAAATTGGCTTCGGGAGCATGCTGAATATAGAACCTATAAGAAGTGACAGAGATCTTTATGATGTTTCTTTATGCAAGTTTTGTTTTATTTGTTGTAGTTACCATGGCAGCAAGAGCAACAAAGGACTGGCGTCTGGACTGTAAAGTATATATTGGTGATTTAGGTTATGGTGCTGCTAAACAAGAAATAGAAGACGTGTTCCAGAGATATGGACCGCTAAGAAATGTATGGGTGGCTAGAAACCCTCCAGGTTTTGCTTTTGTTGAATTTCAAGATCCACGTGATGCTGAAGATGCTACAAAGGCTCTTGATGGCACGTAAGTATTGGACCACTGAAAAACGAGTTGGCACATAAGTATTAGACCACTTATAAATGTGTTGGCATTCAAGTATTGGACCACTTTAGTTGGCACATAAATATTGGACCACTTTAGAATGTGTTGGCATGTAAGTATTGGACGATATGTTTTGCTCAACCATTTGAGTGGAAGTGGTCCTAATTGTTTTGATTGGCATTGATTGAATCTCGTGGTAGAAATTGGTTTGATTTGTCATTAGTGGTGATTGAACTGTTAAAATTAATTTAATTTAGATGCATAACATACTGTATATACAGTGATTTCCTTTGAAATATAAGTCCACAAATTCGTTTTTTTTAAAGAAATTTTCATAAGAGGGGGCCCACTGACTGCCTAAGAGGGGGCCCGCTCTAGTCATGCTTCAGTGATTCCCTATATAATCAACCAAATTTTTTCCACAAAAGGGGGGGGGCCCCCTAAATCCGCCTCTAGACACCCTTAAATTGACGAAAATAAAATGAAAAAATTGTCATTATGCATGCCCAAATTATCAGATGTGTAGTGTTAGTCTGGCTCAGACTTGTGATTTTTCAAGATTTTGTTGACCAGCGAATTTTTTTTTTTAATCTTATCCTTTTTTTTATGGCAGGAAACAGACTGTTATTGCTTACATCCACTTCATTTGAACTTTGATGGATAGTTGTCTCATTGGCAATCATAATACATCTCCTTATTTTTATACGCCCGTCAAATTTTTGACGGGACGTATTATGGTATACAAATGTCCGGCGTCCATCCGTCTGTCTGTCCGGCGTAAACATGTCGCACCGTAACTTGAGAATGACTTATCCAAATTTCATGAAACTTAACATAGTTGTTTCTTATGATGGTCAAACGATCTGTATACTTTTTGGTGAAAATAAGATTAAAACTTTTTGAGTTACGGGACTTAGTAACTAAAACAGGTGTGTGGTTTTTTTTCACATGTTGCGCCGTATCTGAAAAACAATTTATGATTATTGCTTAAAACTTTACACACTTCTTAGTTATATTAATCTTAAGATCTGTATACTTTTTGGTGATGATTCAAAATTTTAGTTTAGAGATATTGAGCATTTTGTTAAAAAAGGGGGAGGGGTTTTTCACATGTCGCGCCGTATCTCAAAAACAGTTTATGATTATTGCTTAAAACTTTACACACTTCTTAGTTATATTCACCTTAAGATCTGTATACTTTTTGGTGATGATTCAAAATTTTATTTTTGAGTTATTGAGAATTTTGTAAAAAAAGGGGGAGGGGTTTTTCACATGTCGCGCCGTATCTCAAAAACGATTTATGATTATTGCTTAAAATTTTACACACTTCTTAGTTATATTAATCTAAAGATCTGTATACTTTTTGGTTTTGATTCAAAATTTTATTTTTGAGATATTGATTTTTTTTTCTTTAAAGGGGGGTTTTCACATGTCGCGCAGTATCTCAAAAAAGATTTATGATTATTGCTTAAAATTTTACACACTTCTTAGTTATATTATTCTAAAGATCTGTATACTTTTTGGTTTTGATTCAAAATTTTATTTTAGAGATATTGAGTTTTTTGTAAAAAAAAAAGGGGGTTTTCGCATGTCACGCCGTATGTCAGAAACTATTTATGCTTATTGCATAAAAATTCACACACAAGACGCCGGGGGTATCATGCGCTCATGGCGCAGCTGTTTATTATATAATATTATAATACACTTCATTTGAACTTGGGTGGATAGTTGTCTCATTGGAAATCATACCATATATCCTTATTTTTATATTACATACTTGAAACTACACTATTGCATCCAATGTTGACATTATTTTACAGGAGAGTAAATGGTAGGAGAGTACAAGTAGAAATGTCATCAGGAAAATCACGCTGGGGTAAAGATGGTCCTCCTAAACGTGGTGGAGGATACAGAGATGACTGGAGACAGGGTGGTAGCAGAGGTGGTGGCAGAGGAGGTGGTTATAGTGGTGGAAGAGGTCGTTCAAGGTAGATAACTCCAGACATATATGTCATTGTATGCATTAATGGATACAATAACAAAATGTCATGTTAAACAGAAAATTGTGACACAAATGTAGGCTAGATTTTTTTTAAAGAATTTTTTGGGGAAATCAATTAAAAAAATGTTTTCATTTGACACACATATAAGGAAAAGGTTATTACACCTCTTCACAATGTTTAGATCTCCTACAGGGCTAAATGAATGCATGCTGCTAAAATGTTGATGTAAATGTGTAACAAGTACTGAAAACCAAACACGAAAATGTATTTGTAAAAAAAAATGAAGAACTTATTGGTTGATTTGGGTGTTTTAAATTGTAGTACAACAATAAAGGTTATTTGGAAGGAGTCTATTGATATGAAAATTTGGCCAACCCACCCACAAACACAAGGACTTATGGTGAAGTTTGTGAGTGAAATGCTGTTAACACATCAAGAAACTCTCTCTAAATAACCTTTATTACTTATAATTCCAATAAAGTATGGTAAAATTATGTCCAGATAAAAAAAAACTGCTACAGTACTTTTTTTCTTGTTAAAAGTCATATGATACTTCAAATTTAAAAAAAAAATTGTAATATGTTTTATATATATACTCGAATGTCTTAAGTTTTATTTTAAAATTGTGTACATGGACTTTCTTTCAAAATTTTCAGAAATGTACTGCTATTGAATAATTGTCTTCCTGTACTCTAATTTGACGATAGCTTTTCCGTATGCTGTGACCTTAACCTCGAGACCTCTCGTTACTACTTTGGCAACTGCGAGGGAAAAAATGTGATGAAAGAAAAGGTTAACAAACATGAAAGTTAGATAGCATGGATAGTGTCCATTAAGTTGGAAAGAAAAATTTTAATGCACCAAATCATTAAATAACTGTTATGAAGGTCTTAGTATACAACATCGGAATTATAAATATTAAAATATAAATTTACTTTGATAAATATTATATCAAGTATACTTTTTCACTCAAATTTTGAACAAACGATTTAGTAAATTTTATCGAAAAATGTTTGGTTTTTATACTATATATGTAAATGGTCAGGGTTTCCAATCGGCAGTCCTTGTGTATTCAGTACTTAGAATTAACAAACATAGATGAAATGAAACTTCCTTTCAATGAATCATAGGATTGAAAAAAATGTGTATTTTAATTTGTTTAACTTGTTAATACTGAGTACTGATTGTTTATGTGCGGCCTAAACCTGTTTCAGAAAAAAATGACAATTCAAATATTGTTCATTAATATTTGTTTATTAAGAAACGAAAAAGAACAAAAATATACTTGTATTTTTTTTAAAATACTCATATATGTTAGAACAGTACATATCAGAAATTTTATGTTACTTGTATCACAGTTGTTCTATTACACGTCTCCAAAGAGAATTATTTCTTTGTTGGTTTTTAGCTCACCTGGCCTAAAAGGCCAAGTGAGCTTTTCTCATCACTTTGCATCCGTCTTCCGTCGTCATCGTTAACTTTTACAAAAATCTTCTCCTCTGAAACTACTGGACCAAATTTAACCAAACCTGGCCACAATCATCATTGGGGTGTCTAGTTTAAAAAATGTGTCTGATGACCAAGCCCGCCAACCAAGATGGCTGTCATGGCTAAAAATAGAACATAGGGGTAAAATGCAGATTTTTGCTTATATCTCCGAAACCAAAGCATTTAGAGCAAATCTGACAAGGGCTAAATTGTTTATCAGGTGAATATCTATCTGCCCTGAAATTTTCAGACTCATCAGACAACCCATTGTTGGGTTGCTGCCCATGAATTGGTAATTTTAAGAAAAATTTGCAGTTTTTGGTTATTATCTTCAATATTATTATAGAAAGAGATAAACTGTAAGCAGCAATAATGTACAGCAAAGTAAGATCTACAAATAAGTCTACATGACCAAAATGGTCAATTGACCCCTTAAGGAGTTATTGCCATTTATAGTCAATTTTTAACAATTTTTCGTAAATTTTTGTTATCTTTTGCAAAAATCTTCTCCTCTAAAACTACAGAGACAAATTTAACCAAACTTGGCCACAATCATAATTAGGGTATGGAGTTTAAAAAATGTGTCTAATGACCCTGCCTGCCAACCAACATGGCTGACATGGCTAGAAATAGAACATAGGGGTAAAATGTAGTTTTTGGCTTATAGCTCTGAAACTAAAGCAAAAGTATAATGGTTGCATTATTTCATGCATCAATTGTAAACAAAAATATCCGGTGAGCGACACAGGCTCCTTGGAGCCTCTAGTTATAATTTTGTTTAAACTTGAGACTTTTACAAATTTCACAATTAAATTGAATAAATTACTACAGAAGTTGATTCTATGATTGAATTTTTTTAACTGGCGAATTAACTCAACCTGACAAACTGGTTTACTGTTAGGAAATTCTTAAGAATTTTTTTTTTAATTTAGCATGATCAGCACTTATTTGAAATTCTGGAGTGACTAAAATTATAAATTTTTTTGATAAATAGTCATTGGTCAGCTAGGTGTATTTGGTCATCTTCTCTGAAAAAAGATGTGAGAACACATAAAAAAGTGCAGTTATGTGTACATTTTTTAGGTTCTTTCCATGCCCTTTTCAAGCAAATACAGCATCACCTGCTACAATATTCAATCTATAAAATGATGTGTACTAAATTTTATTAAAAGTTGCAGAAAGTATTTGAAAGAATATTTTCTTTACCTATAAGGAGGACAAAGGAAGATAACTCAAATCAAAATATTATCTAAATATGTTTCTTTGCTCAATTCAATGCAAAGTTACGATTTTTATTGAAAGCAATGTTAATAATCTTGGTTATCCTTTTCATATTTTCTGATCTTGACGAGTTTGCGTTAGTTAATTTATCCAGTTGTTTATCCAGTTTATTGAGTTACTTCCCCTTTTAAAAAAAATTTGAATACAGAATTCGAACCATCTGAAAGTGAATGTGAGCTTGTATGAACATTATCCTAGTTATGTACAATGAATTTACTATGTTAAATATCTGTAACATCTACTTTCAGCACATTGATAAATTATGATATACTATTATGTTTTGTGTTTTCTGACACCTCTGTGCATGACTTGAATTGTGTAGAAATTTATGTGTATTTTGTATTTATTAATATGATGACTGCACCCTTTACAGGGCCTCCCTCTTTGTCTTCAAACAAGTCATCAGGCATCACATCAAAAAACAACCTCCTCACGTTTCAACGTTGACATCTTAATCAACCGTAGCTCTGGGTCAACGCTATCAACAAGACCATGTAACAACTGACTCCTCAGCCAAGCTTTTTCAACAAGCACCTCTAATATCAACTCTAAGCTTCATCTCTTAAGCATGGGTTTAAACATCGACAAATTGTCACCTCATCTGACCTAATCATCATGGAATAGGGTACCAGTTCATTTAAATTGTAATTTTTTCAGCAGAAGATACTTTTAGTGTGTTTTGAATCTAACAAAGTTAGTCCTGTTTTGGTTGTCTTACTAACACTCATTTGCCGTCTTAAATTAACTCGATGCAGAATCATTTCTTGACTATGTGGACAAATTAAAATGGACAGCATTTCAGTACACGTTTGGTGAAAGATCATAGCAATATGAATTATTTTGAGGCTTATATAAAATATAGATATGACTTAGAGTTCAAATGTACATTTTCAATAGAAAACTTACAATTTGTTAAAATAAGATAGGTCTGTGTGCTAACTTCAGAGATAAAAGATTTTTAAAATTGTATTTTTTGGTGGGAAAATGGTGTCTCTCAAAAATATAGTAAAAATAAACAAAAAATCTATAAATTAAAGATGTGAGGTATATGTCAAGGAGTCAGCAACCCAACAACAGACAGTAGAAGTAAATATAAACATAAATTTACATATTTATGTTGAAGGTCTTCAGTGAGCTATTAGTGCATACATCCTTGTCCTTTAGTCTTTGGTGGGAAGTTGTCTCATTGGCAATCATACCACATCTTCTTACCTTTATATAGTTTTTTAATTCACCAATCAACACATTTTGCAAATAAATTTGATAGAGGCTATCAAAGATCTGCTAAATTCTCCATAAATAATTTTTTAAAAAATTTATCAGAGTCTAACACACTTTGTAAATGTAAGTTATAAGAGTTACCAAAGACTACCAAATTCTCATGAAAAACAAAAAATGACAAACGACTACCACAGAGAAAGTTATTTTTATACAGACTGTTTTATTTTGTCTATTACATTGTGTCTGCATCGAGTTCATTTATGACAGTGTCATTGTTATGTTTATTTTGGTTCTTAATTAATTGGTAGGTTGGGAAATGATTTCGTTTCATAGTTAAGCGTATTTATGATACATGTATGTATCTAAAAATATGGACAGTTTCACTGAAGTAATTTGCTGTGGGAATTTTGGAGGTAAATTAGTACGGTATCTGTTATCAGGAGGATATTGATATTTTTAGATATTCTGATATTCATATTGATAAATATATTTCTTTTATACATGCACATAAATTATATTTTCAAAATTAGCTGTCTAAGGAATACCATTTTTACAATTTTTAAGTTAAATTCCTATATGTACTTTTAGGGGGGAAAGACTTTTCAGTATGAGAACATTTCTTCATCAAGCATTTAAAAAAAATTTGGGGAGATGGAAAAAGATTTTTGGTTTGAAATACATGGACTGAATAATGATTGATAAATTGTATAAAAAATATTTCAAAAATAACAAGAAATTATAAATTTTCAAATTGAAGGTTATATTAGAATTTTCTGCGAAAAGAGGTCTCTATATTTTACATATATAATATGTTTGTTTTGAGAAAATATATATGGAGAAACATAAGTACTGGTTGGCAAACATGTTTCAATGGATAGTCTAGGGAAAAGCCAGAGAGGTTACAAAATGTTTCAATGGATAGTTAAGGAAAAAGCCAGAGGGGTAACAAAATGTGTCAGTGGATAGTTTAGCAAAATGCCAAAGGGTAACAAAATGGTTTGATGGATAGTCTAGGAAAAAACCAAAAGAGTTGCAAAATTTTCAATGCAAAATCCAAAGGGGTTACAAGATAATCACGAAAATTAAGCTAAAAAATAACATACATCCTTAAGGGGTTTTCAAGGTAAAGTTATATGGACAGGACTGATTACACTGTGTTAAGTTTTGTGCAGTTATATCAGGTGGAGTTAACCTGGAGGTAGAGGGTTAAGAGTTTTAGTTGAATCATCAAGGTTCTCTGTGCTTTTCACAACTGTTGGTAAAGGGCAGTCCAATAATATTACAACAAATCCATGAAAAGACAGACAGAAGACATCAAAAGTGCCATTTTTTGTAAGAAAGTAACAATGTACATAGAAAGCTCTATATATGTAAGCCAAAAATAAGAATACTCACCATGGCCATCAATATATGCAAATGAAAATTAAATGTTCATATTGAAAGTGAAAACAGAATTCAAACACAAAAATAAACTTGTAATTAGACCACATATTTCATATATTTGTCATAAAATTATTTAAAGGATTTTTATATTTTTATATGGTACAATGTAAACAGTACAATGAATACTCATTGTCACCTCAAAAGTAGACTTTCAAACTATATATGAAAACTTGTAAAGGTAAATAATTATATGGTAGGAAAATACCATAAAGAAATCTACCCTGTTAGTGGTAAGTGTTTCTTAGTGATAATAAAATGCTTTTTCTAGAGGAAGCTTTCCCTACTAAATCTTGAAATTTGTACATTTGATTGTGTTGCAATTATCTTTTCTTTTGATGGATGACAAGTATTTATGCAGTGTTTGATACTTTTTCAGATCTCCTCCTCCAAGACGCAGGGACTCACCATCACCAAGGAGAAGAGGACGTAGTGATAGTCGTAGCAGGTGTGTATGATAATTATTCATAGAAATAGAGTGCAAAATTCACAGATTAGGAAACTGCCTCAGTTGTCTATTGGTAGCATGCTCCATTCCATAATTGGGGTTGATACCTCTCAAGTTCAAACAAAACATTTAAATATGTATGTGCTGCTTTTTAGCCAAGCATACAGCAGTAAGAGTAAGAGCAGAGGCTTTGTCGGCTCTGAGTCTGAATAATGTGTGCGGGTTTGGTTGCATGTCTTCCTGTGGACTGTTACCTTGTGGACTAAAAAGATAACTATCGCATGTTGTTTAAGTACAAAGAAGATTTCATACTACAATGTATACGTACTATCACAATATTCTGTTCACTTGATAATATGTATGTAATGTTTGCCTCTGGACATACACAATAATCCATCAGAAACCTGAACACTGGACAGTTGGTATCATTACAATACAAGAACTGCAAAGTATACAAGTAATCTTTCTGCATCAAAGACGGTCAGCTACTGTGGATTCATTATTATTCATGGGATACCAATTTTGTAAATTTCGTGGGAAAGGTGAACCACAAATTTAAATGTTTAACAATGTACACATTTTCTTTAGGCTTGTATGCAGACCTTTGGCTAAACCTCAAAATCAAATATTCATGAAAAATAGGTACCCACAAAAATAGGTACCCATGAAAATAGGTTCCCACAAAAATAGACGAATCCACAGTATGTTAACACTTCACTACATTATGTAACCTCTTCTGTTTTGTTCCCCGCCCCAATGTGTTGTTGACATAGTTATAGTAATTGTCTGTCTGGAAATAGATTTCACATTTGGTAGGATTATATGCATCATATTTTCTTGAAAATAGTATACTTTTTGATAGTCATTTTGATTTAACATATTTTACTATTGTAAGACAAAAATACTAAATATAAAAACAGCCTAAATTGTTCATATTTGTTTTGTAGGTCAAATTCACCTTACAGAAGAAGGTCAAGGTCACCAGTGGACAGAAAGTAAGCTATTTTTTGTAGGTTTCATGGAATTATGGAAATACAGAGTGAGATGAATTGTACAAAGATTTTTTAACATTACACATACACATGTTATTATTATTTCACCCCTGTTTGTCCGTATGTACGTCCTACTGTCTGTTTGTCCAACCCATGAAATTTTCATCAAAAATTGAAATATTGGGGTTCTTTGATATGCTGAATCTAACCATATATAAAGTTGCATTACTATCAGTACATATCAGTTTGACAACTATTTTGAGGCCCTGCCCCCTAGGTCATGGTCCAGTGACTTTGAATTAATTAGCAATTTTCAATGTTAAGTTTTCTGCTTAAGTTAGTTTTAAAGGATCTACTTGTGATAGATCAATGATATTTTGTATAAAGTTGCATTACTATCAGTACACATCAGTTTAATGCTAATTTTGGGGCCCTGCCCCTAGGACATGGTCCAGTGACTTTGAATTAATTTCCAATTTTCAATGTTAAGTTTTTCTGCTTAAGTTATATAGATAGGAACTACTTAAATCAAACAACGATATTTTTCTATAAAGTTACATTACTGTCTTCATCTCAGTTGTCAACCATTTTGAGTTTGTCAACAGTTTATTATAAATTTATGATATGACATTGAGGAGTTATGGAACTTCAAAAGCGATGGGCTTATCATGCGGTCATGGCGCAGCTCTTTATTATATATCATGCTCTGTTGGTACAGCTGTATGGCAAATATATTGCTGAATTAACTCATGATATCACTGCTAAAATGATATTTTTAAGTGATATCTTGTCTTCGGACATCCATGGGAAGATCTATTGTTATAAAAATAAGGAGATGTGGTATGATTGCCAATGAGACAACTATGCACCAAAGTTCAAATGAAGTGGATGTAAGCAATTATAGGTAACCGTTCAACCTTCAACAATGAGAAAACCCATACCGTATGGTCGGTTTTAAAAGGCCCAGACATAAAAAATATGTGTTGGTTCAGTTGTCGTCTTAGCTAATAATATAAAGTCTAAATGATTGTGGTCAATATTATAGTACACCAAAATGATGAAAATTTTGCACACTTTTGAAAATATTACCCAGAATGCATTTGATCCTGAAACAATATAGTGTTCAACATCAGATTGTAATGATATTACAATGACAACAAAAATTCCCATCATACAAGATCAAATTGAAATTGTGAAGTTGAAATCGTTTTTACAAAAACGAGTCAAAACACACACAAAAAATCACCACAATAAAATGCTGATTAAAAAGTGGGTACTCCAGAAGAAGCAATAGGTAAAGAGGCAAACCACACCATATGACAGGGGACAGATTTATTATGTACAAAGTAACAATGAATTTTTTTGTTTCAGGAAGGACTGGTGAAGAACGTGGACAGACATTTTGTTTGACAGTCAACTGATAACTACAGATTGTTATTGTCGTTAAAGTCAGAATATTTGACTTTTTAATGTTAGCATTTTAAATGTAACATGTAAATTCAGAAATATTTTAATAAATGTTTTTTATTATGATTTGAATTATGAGAGATGTTGAGTTTGTCTTATATTTTTTCTAAAAACCTGTAAAAGAAAATTAAAATTTCATGCAAATTTGATGCAGTAACGCATTCTTTTTAAAAAAATTTATTAGCATGAAAACACTATATGGTTGTTTTCTTTATACATAGATTGTTTTCACAAAATACAATATTTTTTATTCGAAACTTTTCAACTCAGCCTTATAATGGGAGATAACTCCTATAATTAATTTTATCAAAAATGTACAATATATTTTCTTCTTGTATTATAGCAAGACAAAAAGTATGGTTCCCCATTTTTTCTTTTAATTTTCTAAAAGCATTTTATACAAGCTATCTTCTTATAATTAAGTTCTAAATTCTGGCAACAAACATCTAATAATTTCATAAGTAAATTTACATACTAAGTGATTTTAATCTTTATAATTAGGAGATTAATTGATTGAGAGCACATTAGGATTTTTTTTCATTACGTAAACAATAGCTTTTTTTAATAATATATATATTTGGGAATTCATTTTAGAGTTCAGCTGTTATTACTCCATTATTTGGGCTGTCTTTTCATTCAATTGATATTCCTATACAAATATATTAAAAACAATCATTGCAGTAGTTTTTCTCTTGTCTGTTTTTTTTTAATAGTGCAATGTTCAGTTACATAGCAATTTAGTAAAAGTCTTTTTATTTTTTAAATGATAGCAGAGATACTGTAAGCTGGAAAATTTTCACGACGTCTTTTTTTCACGATTTACCAACAAAATGTAAATTCGCATTATCCCAGTGTCCTTTATAAAAAGTATTTTCATAAATGTTTAAGAAAGTGAAAAGATTTACATGTATCGTAAATCAATTACTGAAAATTCAGAAATTATAGCAAGGTTTTTATTAATGTAAATAATGCAACTTGGTGAATTCGGCAATAATAATAACTCTCATTCTGATATCTTATACATACATCTGTATGCAGATTTTCCAGAAATTACAATTATAAATCTCGCATTTTTGTCCATTCTTCAAGAATCGCAATAGTAAATGCATGCAATAATTTCTGAATTTACAGTAATTAAATCGTCAGTTCATTATGTAAAGGAGATTTAAAGTTATTATTCATGTTTGCTGGTAAAATTCATACACCAATTGTTGTTCATATAACAATATCTGTAAAGTCTGTTCACGCGAGATGTAATCAATGTTAATTACATTTATACAAGTTAAAGTTTTGATTTCTAATATTGCAATATGGATATGTCATGGGTAAAGCCGGTGTTAAACATTGTTCCTCTACATATCCTATTCCTATACATTTATGTATGGTCTATATCTCAGCAATCGGTTTTCATTGAAATATTCACGGTCAATTTATTTTTGTGTTTCAACTCTTACAAAAATTCACTGTTTACAGTAATGGGTTTTAAAAAGTTCCTGAATTAATACGGCATTTGGGTGGATCACTTTGCTCTGAAAGAAGTGAGATTGTTGGACTCCAAAATAACTAAAGGATATTTGTGGTTATATAGTAGGATGTATTATGAACCAGTCCATACAAAGAATTCTTATCACTCTCCCCGGCCCACATTGATTACATTTCACAGGGTTGACATTCTTGCTCTTTAGTATTTCGTGTTTGTCTTCAAATTTATCGGAATTGACATGTATTTCATCTTTCAGAAAAAAACCTGTATGTCTTTAAAATGATATAACTTATTCATCTCATTTGTAAATATATATTTATATGTGGATCAATTATGTTAATATGAATTTAGAAAAGGGTAGGTTTTTCTTTTTTTTGGGGGGGTTGAGGAATAAATTTTGTTGTAATACTTTTATAATTATGTACATAAGAGAACTTACATATTTGTCTTGTGTTGAAAACTGTTATAATAAAACAGATATGTGTATAACACTCAAAGTTTTCTTTCATGATGAATGAATAGCCAAATATCATTAAAACTGATCCCTGAAATTTAATGTTTATCTCTTGATGTACATGCTGTTTCTTAAGGGCATACAATACAGTTACAGGGGAGGTGATGACGTTGCCAACGTAAAATGTTATTTTTCGCGACGTCAAACTGCGACATATCTGGAAAAGATGCATTTTTCGACTTATTTTTATCATTCAGACTGATATAACTTGAAAACAAGTTTATGGACCCCTCTTTCTTAAAATGACATTAGGATTGATTAAGTATGAAGATTATTTGTACCAATTTTTATACGCCCGTTTACGTGACGTATTATGGTATACCGTTGTCCGTCTGTCCGTCCGTCGTCAACAGGTCGGACATTAACTCAAAAAAGCTTTAACCAATTTGCATAAAACTTTGGTAAATTGTTTATATTTATTGACGTGAGCTCCCTTTCATTTTTCATAAATTTTAGATTTTACGTTTCCGAGTTATGGGGTTTTATTCATTAAAAAAAGGGGGATTTTCCAGTTTTTGGACAACAACTCAAGAATGCTTTCACCAACTTGCAAGAAATTGTAGTGAATTGTTTATATCTATTGGCATGAGCTCCTTTTCTATTTTTATATATTTTAGATTTTACGTTTCCAAGTTACAGGGTTTTATTCATAAAAAAAGGGGGATTTTCCAGTTTTCGGACAAAATATCAAAATGCTTTCAGCAGTTCTTATGAAACTTTGGTGAATTGTTTATATCTATTGACATGAGCTCCCTTTTGATTTTTATATATTTTAGATTTTACATTTCTGAGTTGTGGGGTTTTATTCATTAAAAAAGGGGGGATTTTCCAGTTTTCTGACAGTAACTCAAAAATGCTCTCAGCAATTCTCATGAAACTTTGGTGAATTGTTTATATCTATTGATGTAAGCTCCCTTTACATTTTCATAAATTTCTAATATGACATTGAGAATTAATTGAACTCTTTGTGTTTATATTCTGACAACAGATTTACTAAGTATTGGGCAACAGCACAGTGTATTGCACAACAGCAAGAAATCTTTAATTGAATATAAATTCAATTCATATAACCAATTTCAAGTTCTTTGACTACATTTATTCAGAAACCTATATTATGTCAAATATTTAATTACAATCCAAATTCAGACCTGTATCAAGCTTGAATATTGTGTCCATTTTTGCCCCAACTGTTCAGGGTTGGACCTCTGCGGGCGTATCCAGCTGCGCTCAGCGAAGCAGTTTTTTATGAAAAAGTCACCGATGAGATTTTTTAAAATTAGATAAGTATACAGTAAAAAATTCCGTTTTTTTCCTAAAATCCTGAAACTTTAATAAAAATTAAATATTTCCAAAGAATTGTTATAAAAATTTAGAGCATACTTATGTAAAAGAGATTTTCCAAATGTTTTTACAAAAATCCTATTGTGTTTATCTTTTGAAACAAAAAAGTTAGGTATGTCTATGCAAAGGATATAAATGTTCCAAAAAACGAAATTTTGAGTAAATGTCTAAAATTTCGACCCCATTTATCTCTTAAAGTAGCACATGAAGGTATATGTTTTATTACATATTTGCAGTGACTAGATGAAAAATAGCTTGTATGCAAATTTTCGTAAAAAAATCACTGTGGGATCAAAACTGTTACGTATGCCCTTAATTTGCACCCATACAACGTAGATACGTAGATGTGATATACTGGGTTAGTAATCTTTTTTATGGATATCCCACATCTTTTCCAATTTATAGCTATAGAAAAATATTGTGATCCAAAGTAATTCTTACAGTTTGTAATATTTACATTGAAACATTGACCCCAGTAATAGTTTAAAACCATATGAAACAAATTTTCAGAGCTGACAAATTTCTATAGAAACTGAGAGACTCTCCATACATTACATTTTTACTGAACTTCAAAGGTGAAGCATGTGACTTTTCCAAAGATGCTAAATGAAACATAGTCTGTTACACCAGTGTTGCCACGGATATAACCAAATCAGTCATGATGCACAAATAAATGTATTGTTTTGAATTCTGATGTGTATTCAGAGAAACATTTTTAAATGTCAATTACCGTTAGTTTGAATGTGACCTTATGTGGTATTATTGATGATGGATATGTCAACTCATCAGTTTGTTATAAGAATTTTTAAAGGGGTTTTCCAAAATTGAATTAGGGCGGGTTGGCAACTGACAACAGTTTCCGTGCAATTACTTATGAACTGTTCAACCAATGCTTTTGAAATTTAAATATGTTGTTACTGATGACAAAATTGAGGTGAAAGTTGATATTAACGATTTTCGCTTTTACCATTCAGGAAATGGCACTTTTTGTTGTTTACATGCAATATCTTGTGAACAATTCAACCAATTCTTTTCAAAGTTAAATACGTTGTGATTGATGGCTAAATGGAGGTCAAGTTCAATATTGATGATTTTCACTTCTACTGTTCAGGAGTAATGGTCTTGATAGATTTCAAAATGACACTTTGTTTCCATGAAATAAATTATAAACAGTTCAACCAATGCCTATAAATATTTAATAATGGAGGTTCATTTTATATTGATGATTTTCACTTTTGCCATGCCTTGATAAATTGGAAAATAGGCACAGAACATGACTGGCCAAACAAACATGAAAGCGCCTTCAAAATACTGAAAATCCGGTTTGCTGTCAATTTGACAGCTCATTTTTTAGCTCACCTGGCTCGAAGGGCCAAGTGAGCTTTTCTCATCACTTGGCGTCCGTCGATTGTCGTCCGGCGTCGTCCGTCGTCGGCGTTAACTTTTTACATTTTGAACTTCTTCTAGAGAACCACTGAATGGAATGAAACCAAACATGGCATGAATGTTCCTTATGAGTTGCTGACCAAGTGTTGTTACTTTGTAGCGGATCCATCATCCAAGATGGCCGCCAGCGGGGGACTTAGTTTAACATAGGACCCTATGAGAAATACATACAAATGCCTTCTTTTAGAGAACCACTGAATGGAATGAAACCAAACATGGCATGAATGTTTCTTATGAGGTGCTGACCGAGTGTTGTTACTTTGAAGCCGATCCACAATCCAAGATGGCCGCCAGTGGGGGACTTAGTTTAACATAGGACCCTATTGGAAATACATACAAATGTCTTCTTTTAGAGAACGACTGAATGGAATGAAACCAAACATGGTATGAATGTTCCTTATGAGTTGCTGACCGAGTGTTGTTGCTTTGAAGCCGATCCATAATCCAAGATGGCCGCCAGCGGGGGACTTAGTTATACATGGGACCCTACGGGAAATACATACAAATGTCTTCTTTTAGAGAACCACTGAATGGAATGAAACCAAACATGGCATGGATGTTCCTTATGAGGTGCTGACCAAGTGTTGTTACTATGGAGCTGATCCATCATCCAAGATGGCTGCCAGCAGGGGACTTAGTTTAACATTGGACCCTACGGGAAATACATACAAATGTCTTCTTTTAGAGAACCACTGAATGGAATGAAACCAAACATGCATGGTATGAATGTTCCTTATGAGGTGCTGACCGAGTGTTGTTACTTTGAAGCCGATCTATAATCCAAGATGGCCGCCAGCGGGGGACTTATTTTAACATGGGACCCTATGGGAAATACATACAAATGTCTTCTTTTAGAGAACCACTGAATGGAATGAAACCAAACATGGCAAGAATGTTCCTTATGAGGTGCCGACCAAGTGTTGTTACTTTGAAGCTGATCCATCATCCAAGATGGCAGCCAGCGGGGGACTTAGTTTAACATAAGACACTATGGGAAATACATACACATGTCTTCTTTTAGAGAACCACTGAATGCAATGAAACCAAACATGGCATGAATGTTCCTTATGAGGTGCTGACCAAGTGTTGTTACTATGAAGCCGATCCATAATCTAAGATGGCCGCCAGCGGAGGACTTAGTTTAACATAGGACCCTATGAGAAATACGTACAAATGTTTTCTTTTAGAGAACCATTGAATGGAATGAAACCAAACATGGCATGCATGTTCCTTTCGAGGTGCTGACCAAGTGTTGTTACTTTGAAGCTGATCCTTCATCAATGATGGCTGCCAGATGGGGACAATGTTTAACAAAGGACCCTATGGACAATACATACAAATGTCTTCTTTTAGAGAACCACATACTGAATGGATTGAAACCAAACATGGCATGAATGTTCCTTATGAGGTACTGACTAAGTTTTGTTACTTTGAAGCTGATCCTTCATCCATGATGGCCACCAATGGGGGGACTTCCTTTAACATAAGACCCTATGGGAAATACATACAATTGCTTCTTCTAGAAGGGCACTGAATGGAATGAAACCAAAACATGGCATAAATGTTTCTTATGAGGTGCTGATTAAGTGTTGCTACTTTGTTGCCGATTCACTGTTCAAGATGGCCACCAGGATTTTTTATTAAATTACAGGACCAATATTAAACCAAATTTGGCCTCACTCATTATTGGGGTATCTGTTATGATTTTAATCGATTTTTACATGATTTCCAAATCCAAAGTAGAATCAGGTGAGCGACACAGGCTCTTGAGAGCCTCTAGTTGTTAAAAAGTGTCTTAAAAATTTGACCTAGAATTTTTTTAAGAACTTTGAAATTTACTAGTACTGTCTTATGTTATTACTTTCAGTGGAGTGTTACCTCTGCTGTGAGACATTTAGTCCTGAGCCTATCACCAGCCCAGCAGCTCAGAACTTCAGTACTTGCATGAAAGTACGGGTATTGTTTTATTGAAACAAGGTATAATAAAACTTGGGAAATGTATCTTACTCAGTCATAAATATTATGCCTTGTCTGGATTTGGCTATTATTTTGGTCTGTTTTGGTTACAAAGGCGCACCATCCTTGGTGTGATTTCTAATATTCAAATATATTTGCCTGAAGCATCACTGAAGAGGCGTTAATTACTGAAATGCACAGTAAAAAAAAATCTCTGCTGATACTTTGATTTAC